TATGTATTTATGGTGTACAACATGATATTTGTATATACGTATACATTGTAGAATGGCTAAATCAAGCTACTTAACATGTGTATTGCCTCACATACTTATTTTTTTGTGGTATGAACACATAAAATCTACTCTGTCAGTAATATTCAAGTCTACAATACATTGTTATTAACCATAGTCACCATGTTGTACAATAGATCTCTTGAAGTTATTACTCCTATCTAACTGGAATTCTTTTCATCTTAACCAAGGCCACATGAAATAATTGAGAAACTGAGTGTGATATTTATTTCTACAATATTTCTCCTTCAAGAGTTTAAAGTTTTCAACTGTTAATTCTGGCAAGGATGATAGCCAATGACATATAAAATTGGTTGTTTTCTAGTTAGTCATTTTTATTTGCAATAATGAACAATTACTTAGTGATTTTGATCAAATCCTGTCCCTTACAAATTAGCTGAGTACCTTTGGACAAGCCATTTAACTTCCCTATGCCTCCCTTTCCTCATTGAGTAAGATGGGGATAATAATTGTAACGGTATCTCATAAGAATGTTGTGAAGATTTAAAGGGGAATACATACAAGTGCTTAGAAAAGTGCCTAAAACGAATGATACCCTAGAACGCTGGCTTGGGAGGAGAGGGGTGGAGTGCTTATTTGTAGCTTTCACCAACTTCTATGAAGTAAATGTTCCCACTACAGCAAATTTCAAGCTACTAACAATTTAACCATCAGCATGAGCCAGTAAAGCTCTGGCACACCAATGTGGCAGTGTAAGTTTCTAACAAATGTTCATTTTTATCATTACTAAATCTAAGGTCCTTTTTCATTTTATCGATGTATATTTTCATGAATTGTACAAGTGTTCAAGGAGGGACGAGTTTAGAGAGATAAATGGAGGGAAAAACTTAGGAATTGTAGCAGTTAGCAAAGCTTTGAGGAAGATTTCAGAAGTTATCTGAACCTGTTTGGACACTTGGGCATGAGTATTTGGAAGGGAGAAGAACACATACAGTAAGTCTTAATGTCATTAATAGGTTCTTAGAAACTGCAGGTTTAAGCAAAATGGCATGTAACAAAACCAATTTTACCACAGGCTACATGATAGAAACAAGACTTAAGTTCCTATGGCATATTTCTGGTCTCAAAAACATCACCAAACTTTTAATAAAGACCAAAATGTTTCTAATATTAAACATTGAAATAAATGTGAGCTATGCATACATTTAAGAAAGAGTAACAAAAACAAGTGAGATAATTATTTACCCAGTGATTTTAGTTCAAGGGCATGGGTGGCCAGAGCCTATCCTGGCAGCTCAGGATGCAAGGCAGAAACTGCCACCACACAGGATGTCATCCCATAGCAGGGGGCATTCAGACACACACACACACACACACAGAGTTACTCAGACTGGGACCATTTGGACATGCCAGTTTACATAACATGCAGTACATGTTTGGGATGTGGGGGGAACCGGAGTATCCAGAGAAAACCCTTGCAGACTTAGGGAGAATGTGCTAACTCCACACAGTGGCCCTGGACGGGAATCTATTGTTTTTCTCATCAACATTATAACAAGATGTTGTGGAATGAAAGGATGTTGTTGGAGGACCCGCTATATAAGTCATTTCAGTAGTAGCCTGGGGAGAAATTTGTGGGGACCCAGTGGGGAGACAGAATCAGAAAATGTGTGTACTAAAAACAGGCAGATCCTGAAATGAACTTGTGATGCCTAAATGAGCTTGTGATGCCTAGATGAACTTGTGATGCCAAAAACTGATTTCCTGCTCGTGCAATCGTATCTCTTTTTGAAGAAGAGAAACTGTTTTGGTTAGAAATTTTTTTTTGTAAGCGTGTGAGAAGAAAAAGTGCTCGCTGAAGCTAGTGCAAGTCAGGGGTAGAGGGAGGACAGTTCCTGTAAGGATGTGTCTAAATGGATTTCCAGGAAACTAAACTGCCACATGTCAAGAAGAGCAGTTGCCTGAAGGTACTTGTAGATCGAAAGCTGCCCTAGGTGCCCTATCAGCACTGATTCATGAGTTTTGCATCTAGTTTCTCCTATTCTTACCACAACTTGGCTGCTCTGTCTTCTCTGCAATAAACAATTTCTTCACTCTCTATTCCATATGTTTTAAACTTGTCTTATTATTTTTGTTCCCTCATACATTGCTTCATAGATTACCCAATCCAAAAAGAAAGAAAACAGAGAAAGAAAGAAAAATGAGAGAGAGAGAGAGGAAAGAAAGAGGAAAGAAACAGAGAAAGAAAGAAAAAGAAAGAAAGAGAGAGAGAGAGACAGAGAAAGAGAAAGAAAGAAAGAAAAGAAAGAAAGAAAGAAAGAAAGAAAGAAAGAAAGAAAGAAAGAAAGAAAGAAAGAAAGAAAAAGAGAAAGAGAGAAAGAAAGAAAACGAAAGTATATTCCTGAACCACATGAAAACACAAAGAATCACCTTCTCTACAAGTGTCCTGTGTATCTGCAAATTAACCAGTACTTCAGGTAGTCCTTAGGTATTCTAGAGTTTAGAAGAATCCTAAAAGGTTTTGCTCTGGCAAGGGCTGTGAGTAAAGCATGGCCTTTGAGGCGACGGAGGGAGATAAAGGTAGATATATAGAAACTTTATTTTAGAGAAAGGAAAAACTTCTTCAGACCATATACAAAATCAAGTAATCAACCATTCAAAGTCGGGCTTAATTTAAGAGCTTTTTTTAAAAAAACAAACAATAACAACAACAAAAATGTATACTAGTGATCTTTAAAGGAAACCATGCTATCATTTGGATTATTATTCTGGATTCCAGTCAGTAGTTAGGACATATAAGAATTATAAATTCTGTTATTGGTAATGGTTAGTTCAAAATGCATAGTCTTACCACTCAGGGAAAACAGTACTTAGATTTCAGAAGATAAAACTTTGTAATTGGGATGAAAGGAGGGTATGGAGGGTGTTCTTAAATATTTACAGGGATGTTCATGAGACAAAAGGACTAGACCTAGAAGTTATTACATTTAATTCTCACAGCAAATTGATAAGGAAAGTATTTCCATCTAATAGATGACAAAACCAAATTCACAGAAGTTCAATTCATTCATTTTATAAGTATTTATTAATAATTTTTAATATGCTTGGCATTGTAATTAGCACTGGTTATTATACTATAATGAACAAAACAGGACCTTGCCATTTTAATGGAGATGACTGGTTAGGGGGACAGGCAGAGAAATGACAAGTGAATCAACAAATAAGGATACTATTCAAACATGAGATTTTGCACAAGGAAATAATATAGAATAATATAAAGTATAGCATGCAATGAAAGAGGATAACTTGAAAAGGATAACAGTTACTTGGAATTTGTTAGGGAAGGCTTCGCTGAGGTGGTGACTTTTAATCAGAGACCTGCAAGGAGAGAATAAGCCAGCCATGGAGGAGACAAGCGAAGAGTGGCTTTTAGCAAATTAATTGCAAATGTGAAAGCTCTAAGGCAGAAAAGTCGTTAATATTGTACAGGGCGCGGTGGCGCACATCTGTAATCCCAGCACTTTGGGAGGCCAAGGTGGGCAGATCACCTGAGGTGAGGAGTTTGGTACCAGCCTGGCCAACATAGTGAAACCCCATCTCTACTGAAAGTATGAAAATTAGCCAGGCATAGTGGCATGTGCCTGTACTCCCAGCTACTCAGGAGGCTGAAGCAGGAGAATCCAGGAGGTGGAGGTTGCAGTGAGGAGAGATTGCGCCACTGCACTCTAGCTTGGTTGGCACAGCGAGACTTCATCTCAAAAAATATATATAGCTTTTATCTATATCTATAGCTATCTATAGATATATTTCAGAGCAGTGTTACTCCAAATATGGTCTGAGGATGGTTGCCCATCCAAGAAGTGTTCTTTACTAGTCTGAAGCAAAATAAGTATGTAATTGAAAATAAATGCTTACACTTTATGATAAGAATTTGACAGTAATTTTACATCTGTTAAATCTAATAATTTAAAAATGAATTATATTATGTCTAATTATTTTATGTCATTTTTCTAGTACTTCATTTTTACTATTTAAATTGAAAAGTATTGAGCCATGTTGGGGAAAGATGGTCTTTCCATGGTCCATTGATATCTGATGTTAGAAATATTTGGCAGGATCTAAAATGTGCAGAACTTTGCAGGTGCTGGTAAATAATTACCTAAGATGACACAGAAAGTGAGAGGTGGTGCCAAGATAAAATTCCAAGTCTTTCACGTCATCATCTACCTGCCTTGAGAGGCTCCCAGGCTCCCAGTATGTGCCAGAAAGCCATGAGCCCTCAGAAAGGCCTCTACTTCATGACCATTTCTACCCTGACATCCAGTGAGTTATTATCCATCAGAAACAAAGCTTACAAATGGAATACATTTTGATCATTTGGAATTTTTGAACATGTTCCTTTACTTGTAATCTTTGGTGATTGGCTAAACCATTATTTCCTAGGATCACATATGTCCTTTTATTTTTGTTTTGGTTCTGTTTTAGTCTTTGTTTTTTAGAGATAACATCTTGCTATGTTGCCTGGGGCTGGAGTGCAGTGGTGAGATCATAACTCACCACAGCCCCAATCTCCTGGGCTCAAGTTATCCTCATGCCTCAGCCTCCTGAGTAGCTAGGACTACAGGTGCATACCACCATGTCCAGCTATTTATTTTTATTTTTATTTTTTGTAGATACAAGGTCTTACTATGTTGCCCAGACTGGTCTTGAACTGGGCTAAAATGATCCTCCCACGTCGGCCTCCCAAAACACTGGACTTACAGCCATGAGCCACTGCATCCAGTCTACTTTTGTTCTTGTAAATAGTCGTAGTCTCCTCACCTCATACTGGGTCAGAAATGTCTACTTCTTTATCTTTGCCAATGAATATACACTAGAATAATTCTGTGTTTCTTAATCTTTCTATTATTTATCTTCTTAAAATATATTATGATAGAATTTATAAGTGTCCAAAGTTAATACCTTGTTTCTCTTTTATCCAGAGCCCTAAATGAGTCACACAGCACCCTGAAAGTGATTCCCTGGTCTACTTGAATTTGACACGAGAGAAAAGCAGGAGGAAAAGGGGCCATTCTCCAAAGGACCTGAAAGAGCAAAAGAGGTGGGAGCGAAAGCCTTAAGGATCCCACGACTTTTTACTGCCATCTGAGCTACTCAGTGTTTGAATCCCAAGAGGAAGTCATTTTACCTCTCAGGTCTGTTGTAGGACTTGATTTTGTAAAGCAATGCCATGTTATGTGGTTGAAAGAGCACTGGACTTAGTATCAGGAGCACTGAGCTCATAGACTGACTTGGACTCCTACTGGTGGGGACCTCTGTTAGTCACTTTACCTCATCCAAAGTATAAAGGAATTGGACCAAATAATTTACCACATAGCTCTAAAACTTAATTTAAAATGTAATTCTAGAAAAAAAAAAAGGGAATAAGCAAAGAGGAAAGAAGTGAAAGAGAGAGAGAAGAAAGAATACAGAGAGATGACCTTTTGCCTTTCTGTTGATGTTATATCCCTTCTTCCTATATTCTTAGGTCTATGAGTCTGTTTCCCCATCATTTGGTATCTAGTCCACTTCCTGCTTACTGCTTTGCTAATAGCTGGCCTTGCTAGAATCATTGGTTTCACTGCTGTTCTTCATGTGCTTCTGTGAGATTTACTCCAACAAAAATAGGACTGAATTTATTGTGAAGTAACATTGGCAATCTTAACTTATTCATTTAGCTTACCTATTTTTATAGCTGGATAAATATTGTTAGTCTTAGAATAGCTCACATTTTTTGAGAAGCATGCTTTCCCTGTCCATTTGTCTCATAACATGACCCAGCCCTATTTTAAGTCATTCTAAATTCAGCCTCATATAATGAAAATACATTATGAAAACAGATGTTTAGGAGATTTCCTGTATAGCAGTCAGCCAATTCATATGCTTTGTCTCTGCTGACTTCTGTTGCCATGCATTAACTTTTCATAATAGCAGAGGAGGCAAATATGAGCATACAATCCCTTTGTTCTAAAGATATTGTTCCAGCTAGTGGAATGATGTTGAATCTTTAATAACCGTAAGACCAAATTAGTTGCTTTTTCAGTATCTTTTGCTTTGTCTGTGTCTATCCAGTGGCCTAGGAATTAAAGTGTAAGTTGTTTTCACTGTTATATTGGATATTTATATATAGAGAGAGCGCGCAAGATTTTCATGTGTTATTTAATTCTGTATTGTTTCTTATATTTGTAGTAAAATATTGAACAATTAAAAGTGTTGGCTCCAAATATTTGGCTTATGATATTCTCTTGGGAAATGTGGAAATGAATGATAATCCTTGTCTTTTCCCATGATATGTAAAACCCTTCCCTCCTTTCTATCTTCCGCCTCCTAAAAGATGAGTTGATGCTTCTGACTAATCACAAAAATACAAATCAGATGTCTGGCCAGTGTGAGCTCCTTTGAGTTGGTACCTATGTCCTTTTGACATGACCCTATCAGCTCTGCAGCACTTCCTTATATATGTTCTTTTGATTTTGCTTTTAAATACCAACCTTTGCAGACTGATTAGCTCATATAGTTTTGAATTTAGTGGGAATCATCCCCTTGTATTTTTCTGTATTTCTAGTATCTCTGCTAAATTGGCACTAGATCAGGCAGAATGACTTAACGCAATAGTTCTCAAACATTTTGGTCTTAGGACCCCTTTACACATTTAAAAACATCATTGGGGATCCCAAAGAGCTTTTTCTGTAATGTGAATTATATCTGTTGACATTTATCATATTTGAAATTAAAACCGATAAAATTTAAATACAAAGTATATAACCATATATCCTACTAGCTATCAGAGTGATGCCAACGTCATACATCATACAGCTTCTGGAAGACTTCGGGGGCACATTTATTAGAGAATGAGAGCGAAAAAGTCAAATAATTTATTGGTGTTATCATGACAATAATTTTTTGATTACGTGGACCCCCTGAGATGGTCTCAGGGACAATGCTAAAGACTGCTGATTTAAAGTATAGGCAAAGAAGAAAAACACCTTATGGCAAGATGTCATGAGTCTTTTTCAAAGGAACTCCTTGCTAAACATCTGTCTTCATGGTACCTAAGCATTTCACCTTTTAACCAGGACTTTAGGCCATTGCATTACTGAGAGCTCCTCCTCAAAATGCAGAGACAGCTCAAAGACTAATTTTTATCTATTGTTAATAATTCAATTTAAATTGGCTTATTAAATGGCTTTTCAGTTACTTTTCAGGATGTTGAGATACTTGGACTTAGGATAGGTATGTTTGATGGGGAAGACTTGGGAGGTTATAGAGAGATAAAGAGGAGAAGGAAAGGGTAATTGAGAGCATGCTGAGAAGGTGGCTCCATGTAGAACACCACAGCCTTGCTTTCTCCTCCATGTCTCCTGCCCTCTCACAGTGGCGGGCTGCTCACCAGCCCTCCCATACTTACCCTAAACTTTCAACTACGGGTGCTTTTTTGTATTTGTGAATTAGAAAGAGGTAGCTTGGGCTTTGCGTAGTTAAGCAGTCTGGGAAAGTTATAAACTTTTGAGTCCCTTAGAATAATTCAATCATGTATTTCTCTTATCTGTAGAAATTTAGAAAAATTCCAGGGTAGTGCAAACCTGCTTAGAGAGAGGAGAAAACAGAAGTCTATTGCGCTTAACTGAAACTGAAACTGCAAATGAAGGGTTTTTTTGTCGTTTTATATTTTCTTTTTGGTGGTTTGTATTCCTCTATCCATGACTTGTTAACAATCCATAAATCTAGGTTCAAAGAGTACAAAATCCATATTTCTACTAGGAATCATAAGGCTTCGATTAAATAAATTTTTTTGAACTTTCTTCTATGGCTATTCTGAGCTTAGAGTATTTTATTTAATTTTTGTTGTAGAGACAGGGTCTCACTGTGTCACCCAGGCTGGAGTGCAGTGGTGCCATCGTTGCTCACTGCAGCCTTCAAATCCTGGATTCAGGTGATCCTCCTGCCTCAGCCTTCTGAGTAGCTAGGACTACAGGCATGCACCACCATGCCTAGCTAATTTTTTATTTTTTATTGAGATAAGGTCTTACTATGACGTCCAGGCTGGTCTCAAACTCCTGGCCTCAAACAATCCTCCTGTCTTGGTCTTAGCTGGGATTAAAGGGGTGAGTGACTTTGCTCAGCCTTTGCGTTTTAAAATAAAGCTTCTTCGCCGGGCGTGGTGGCTCATACCTGTAATCCCAGCACTTTGAGAGGCCAAGGTGGGCGGATCAGGAGATCAGGAGATAGAGACCATCCTGGCCGACATGGGGAAACCCCATCTCTACTAAAAATGCAAAAAATTAGCCGGGCGCAGTGGCAGATGCCTGAAGTCCCAGCTACTCGGGAGGTTGAGGCAGGAGAATGGTGTGAATCCGGGAGGTGGAGCTTGCAATGAGCCGAGATCTCACCACTGCACTCCAGCCTGGGTGACAGAGTGAGTCTCCGTCTCAAAAAAATAAAATAAAAATAAAAATAAAATAAACTTCTTAAATTATTTCTTCGCAGCAGTAATATTTTTATTTTTGTTCATTCTCAACATATTCCAGATTTGATTTCATCCTCCCCTCCGCAGTTGCTCAGGCTGATTCACTTGCACAAACTTACATAGAGCAGTGATTCAATCCAAGCAAGCCAACATTCACATAGACGTCATAATCATTTGTCTTGTGAGGTCCTGAAGGTAATTAACCCCATTTTTGTAGGTGTGAAAAATGAGCCTTCATACTTTTCAGTGACTGTCTTCTGGTAGCACTGTAAACATGTTTTTGGCTGAAACTCCAACTCAGAAATCCCGGCTTCCTGTCTAGTGAACTCTCTTTTCTCCCCATCCTGCAGTGATTTATGTCAGTCTTACTTGCCAGCATATCCTGTTTGTTCTGTCATTATATTCAGAATCCAGCTCCTACCTCCAGTCTTCCACCTGGCCCAAACCATTATTATTTTCTTCCTAGATCATTGTTATTGCTTTCTAATTAATCTTCATGCTTCTGTCTTCTTCCCCTTTCAATCTATTTGAAACATAACTGTTCTAAAATATGTCAAGTCAAATCACATAATTCTCCTGCCTAAAATTTCCAAGTGCTTATTTCCAATTCCCATCTCACCTAGAATAGAAGCCAAAGTCTTTACATGGGCTATAAGGCTCTAGACAATGGGGTTCGCTGATACTCTCTGAAATCACCTTCTACTATTCTCTCTCCTGATCACTAGTCTCCCTGCTATTTCACCAACATTTCAGACATGTTTCTATCTCAGAGCCTTGGCATTTCCTCGTCTCTCTGCCTGGAATGGTTTTCCTGCTGGTACCTTCATGACTCATATGCCTTTTCCCCTGAAAAATACTCCATAGATACCCTAAAGATACTTTAATACTTTTAACAGGACTCATATTAGTCTAGATAGTGGGACACTCATCTCAGAAAGTTGGAACTCATAAAGAGAGAGAGTTGGGTGTTTCTGGAAGTAGCTTTTATGTTCCGGTGCAATTAGAGAGGCACTGAAGCCCAGCCGCTCAGGTGAAGCATTTCAATTACCACATGATTCTGGATCTGGTTGTGTTTAGCTCAGTATCTAGTAAGTTCCTTAACTTGTATACATGTTAGTTTATTTTCTAATAAATCAGACAATATTGTAAATACAGGCAGCCCTCCCTATCTGTGGGTTCCATATTTGTGGAGTCAACCAATCACGGATAAAAAAATTTTGGAAAAAAAAAACAATACAAGAATAAAAATAAAAACAATTTAAAAACAATACAGTATGACAACTATATGTATATTATTTACATCGTAATAGGTTTATAAGTAATCTAGAGATGATTTTGGGTATGTGGGAAATATGTGCATAGGTGATATGAATATACTAGGCCATTTTATATCAGGAACTTGAGCATCTGCAGATTAGGTATCCATGGAGGTTCTGGAACCAATCTCCTGAGGATTCCGCAGGACAACTGCATCACCTTTTAAAAAAAGTCAGGTGATGGCTTTAATTAAATGATCTTAAGTTGTATATTGATTAATAGGACAGATGACTCTTAGGCAAAAAAACATTAGGAAGCACTAAAATTTCAGCAATGAATTGGAAAAACAGTGAGCAGTGCGATGGAAACACATCGATTTTACTGTGTACCTTGAAGAGTGGGTAGAATTGCCCTGTGTTTGTGCAACATAGCCTAATGATATCTTGTAGTTTATTTCCCCTTTTCACTTGTCTCAGTGGGCCAGCGCTGTAACTACCTAAACGTTGTTGCAGTTACTCTAGGAAAGGAGATGTTTTATCTACTTCATCTTGGAGCTAACTTTAATTTCCAGAGAACTTGGAAAGAGAGAATGTATTCCTTGAGAGAACTCCAGGCCTAACAAATTGATATTGTATTTATTTGACCATGTCCTATCTTCGAAGTGTCATCAGAAGCCACCATTTGTATAAACAAAGGTTAAGTAACAGTTTGAGACCTAGTGTCACAAGATTTGACTAGCACAAATGCCCCTAGGTAAACCGAAACTCTTGATGGAAACCAAATAACATCCTATGAATACCTGAGGAAGAAACTGAGTAAGAATCATGGAAGCAGGCTGGGCGTGGTGGCTCACGCCTGTAATCCCAGCACTTTGGGAGGCTGAGGCGGGTGGCTCTCCTGAGGTCAGGAGTTCGAGACCAGCCTGACCAACATGGAGAAACCCCGTCTCTACTAAAAATACAAATTAAATTAGCCGGGCATGGTGGCACATGCCTGTAATCCCAGCTACTCGGGAGGCTGAGGCAGGAGAAGCGCTTGAACCCGGGAGGTGGAGCTGAGATC